CCCACTTCCTCGGACCGCCGCCGCCGCCGGCATTCGTCGTGCCGAGCAGCGAAGAGAGCCTGCAGCGCGGCTTCGAGATCGCGTTCAACTCCAAACACCTGCCCCACTCCGTGGCCGACATCGCCGACCAACTCGTCCCACTCACCGTCCGCGTCGACGGCGAAAACGTCGTGAGCATCGCCGTCCTCGAAAAAGTGGCACGCTACCCTATGGGCACCGGCTTCCCCGGACTCAACGAAGACGGATACCGCACGTTCAAAACGGTCCTCGCCCGCATCGTCGGCAAAGGCAGCGCCTCCGTCGCCGTCGACGCCGTCACCACCGACTCTTTCGCACTCGACACGGACCCCGCAAAGGGCGGTCCCGATTTCCCGAGGTACCTCAAGTTCGAGTTCCTCGTCGCCTTCGTCGTACACATCCTCAGACCCACCCTCGTCCAAGGCAACAAGATCTACGGCAGGAAGTTCAAAGACGTTAAACGCCCAGTAAGCGGAGCCACTACCCCTTCCATACTTTCTTTCAGAGCGTGAGCGCCTCCAGCGCCGACAGCCAAATGCCCTACCTGCGACACCACTCCACGGTGTCCGGCGGGGCCATGCTCTCGTACGAGAACGAAGGAGCCCTGGGAGGGGCCTTGCCGATCATCTTCCACGATTTCACGGCCTGCAGTCTCTGCAACGCGAGAGCGGTTTACCTAAAGGATTCGAAACCGCTGGTGCACCAGAGCAGTGACGTCGAGGCGGCGTCCCTGGACAACGTCACCAAGCAGAAGCCCACTACCCTGAGCGTTCTCGACTGTGTGGTAGAGAGTCAGCCCACTTCTGGCAATGACAGCTAGCCATCCGGCTAGCTGCCCAAGATATATAGCTAAGTACCCCGACCAGCCACCTGAGATATAGCTAGCCACCCCGCTGGCCACCCGAGATTTAAGTAGCTAATTGCTAGTTCGGCTCTCGCTCGAGATATATGGCCGGTAATGTGAGGTGGTCGGAACGAAGTGTTGGAACGGCGGGCGGCTACCTGTTGATGGTCAAGTGGGTGTCCTGCGTGGTGCCTCGTCTGGGCTGCCAGGGGAGGTCACGGATGAGTCTGTTTTCCCCCTCAGTCACATACTCGGGCCCAGCTGAAGAGCGACTCAGACCAGCAGAAGGCCCGCGCCGCCGGCCCATGAACCCAGGACTCAGCAGACGCTGCTGAGATCGCCCCGGGCCGTCGAATCGGGACCTCGGGGGCTGCCCAGCCTGCCCTTCCGCCACCCTAAGGGCAGCTTGGCGGCCCTCTGTGTCTCTTCGCCCGTCAGCCTCTGTCCACCCGTCAGCCTCGTGTGATCGAGAAGCGTTCAGTCCACGGCCTGCGGGCCAATATTCGTTTCGTCGACGGCCGCCCAGTTGCGGATATTCCCTCAGGCGGTAGTTCTCTCCATGTCTGACATCGGGCTCATAGTTCCGGAGCCGACCTCTGTGACCGTCGACTAGATTTGGGCCATCCGCTAGGTTAGGATGGCCATCGACCACATTCGAGTGGCGTTTCCAGCGAGAGTCGATAAACGTCGGCTCACTGTCTTCGTCAGAGCAAATGTAGTCCTCGTCGCTGTTCTCGATTTTTTTCTTACGCGCCTCTGTGCGTGCATCCCCTGGCTCCAACGCGCTCTCATCGTAACGCAACGCGTTGGAGTCGCTGCGTAACTCGGCCATGTCGCTTGTGTCTGGTTGAGCGTAAGACTCCGGCTGTGTGTAAGACTCTGGCTGTGTGTAAGAGTCGTAACCGGTTAAACGTGGGTCGCTACCGTAGACTCCCACAGTCAACACTGAACTAGTGGGATTCAGCGCAACCTCGGGTCTATCCACTGCTTTCTTACTTACCTGGCGACCGGCGTCTTGGCGACCGTCCAGGCGAGTCCCTCGTGGGTGGTCTGCACCGAATCGGCCAACACTTCTGCGGCCAGGAATGTCCGGGGTCGGTCCAGAGGACGAGCTTTCGTCCGCGGCGTCATAGTCATTGTCGGCGTCGTCTTCTGCCATGAACTGGCGTGGCGGAGGCTCGTCGCTCTTGTTAATGATGCTGGTGTTCTGCAATAACCGTTTGGCCACGTGCAGATTGAGCTTTCGCATTTCCAATTTGAGGTTATCGACTTGTGCGAGTAGCTGGGTATTCTGATCTCTCAGCTTTACGATTTCTCGGCTCTGGTCAGCGCTCTGCTGTTGCAGGATCTTCACATTCTTCTCGCTCTCTTGTAACTCCTCATTCCGTTGCTCGGCTGTGGCAACCAATTCTCGGAGACGGTCGCACTGACCCTGAAGCTCAGAAATCTGTTCAGTGTCCCGAGCGATACGTGCTCCATTCTCTTGCTCCAGAAGTTGGAGCCTTTGATAGTCAGCTCTCATGACCTCCATCCTGCCACGGATGGAGATTAGCTCCGTTTCCATTTCAGATGACTTAGCAAATCTTGCGCTGTTTATGTCCAATTCCCTTCTCTGAGTCGCGATCTCTTGCCTCAGGGAATCGATCTCATACGCCTTACTTTTATCTGACGCCTCCGAAGTCGCCAGCAGCTTGTCAAACTTGCATTTCAAGTTGTCTAATTCATTTTGAGTATTTAGCACACGCGTGTCTGCAATTTTTAATTGATCGCTAAGGACATCTTTTTCCTGCGCAAGTTGATTAGATCGGTTCGTGAGTTCTCCTATGCTCGTAATCTGCGTTTTTATGGTGGATTGACTCTCATTTTGTTGCAGTTCGAGGTTTTTGATAGTAGATTCAAAGCGCTCGACATCATCCATATGATATTGAATTTGTTGCGCTCGTTGGAAATCCTTGATCTCTAGCCACCTGCAGAGACACTCCGAGAATCTCCAGCGTCTGACGCATTCCATAGACAGCCAGAGTGGCAAGCTAGCAGCGCTAGATAGCACATCGCTCTCCAGAGACAAGAAAGGAAGATTGCGATGGAGTCGATGCTCCGTTATCAACAGGGTGATCATGGAGGGATTGTGAGACCCAATACCATTTGAGCTGTGAGTAGCAGCTCCGACCGAAGTGCCGACAGAAGTGCCGACAGAGTTGCTAATTAGTTTTAGAGAGTACCATGTGGCGTCCTTCCGTTCCGAACACATCGTGTCAACTGCCTGGTCACCCACGGAACGGTCTACGGTCGAGCGTTCCATGGAGCGTTCGCGATCAACGTTGGTCAGTCTTAAAACTTGTTCCAGATAGCCAGGAAACTCTGCCATGCTAACGTTCAAGCCATGCCGGTCCTTCAGGTCATTATATTGGTTTAGATCATACGTAAAGCGATGACAGATGCCGGGCTGTTCGATGCCGCAAATCTCAATGATAATTTTCACGTTCTCGTAAACAACACTAACGTAGCAATTTTCCGTACAAGGTTCCGCCTGGTTGGTCTGAATAGTAATCTTAGTCAAGAGAAAACTCCGATCATCATTTACGATACTTAAGTACTGACTATACACCTCAACTAAATTTATTACCTCATTGACCGATGTCGCTGCCGGACTGGGGTTGTAATTACCGCACAAACTGAATCCAGTGGGGCCTCGTACATCACCCGCACCAGGATTGCAATCAGAACAGGATCCAAATCCTGAAGTCGATCCCAACCCAGAATTCGACCTTAGCCCAGAAGTCGACCCTAGCCCAGAATTCGATCCTAGCCCAGAATTCGATCCTAGACCTGAGTTCGATCCTAGCCCAGAATTCGATCCTAGCCCAGAATTCGATCCTAGACCTGAGTTCGATCCTAGACCTGAGTTGGATGCTAGACCTGAGTTCGACATTGCCCTTGAACTAAGTTCCTGACGTCCTTTGCGGCGGGCCCACGCTGATCGCGATCTTGAACCATCCGGTGCAACGTCACCAGTGTTTCCTGAGTCATCCGACTTCAGCCCCGGTTCGAGCCTTTTGATCACCTTGGAAAGGTTAGGTATCGGCGTTTGCGGCCGTGTAATTAGAACGAGAGAGTCTACCGGGCCGGTGGGAGCAACAGGCCCTGCAGGAAGAACCGGGCATGAGGCAGCCACACGCCCTTCAGCACTACTACCGTCTACATTCTCCGAATCGATAACAGGGGTGATGCCCTGATGAGGAGACGACGACATCATCAAGGGCACCTGGGAAGGCGGCGGGAGTCGGAGCGGGTAGTATGGGTTGTAGTAGTAAGCGTTCCCCTCATTGGATGGGTACATAACTGCACAATACGGCCCCGAGCAAATAGGCACTCGAACCGATACCGCTTTCGAACGTGTTTGCTAAAATGGTTCACTACCCAGACGAGCCCGTTTATTCAGACAAGTACGAAGATGATTGTTTTGAGTATCGGCATGTTCTTCTCACTAAACTTATGACGCAAGAGGTAAGCAAGATCTGCCATACACGGACGGCGAGAAAGTTCGGAAGGAACTAGCTGCACTTTTGCTCGTTCGACTGACGGCTCGTTCGAGCAGTGTTTCGTTGCATGTGTGTGAATTGTTTTGACTGCAGGTGAAATCACTCTTGCAGAAACGGCCAAAGGAGCTGTTGTACGAATCTGATTGGCGGAACCTGGGTGTTCAGCAGAGTCGAGGCTGGCAGCATTACCTGCTGCACAAGCCTGAGCCCCACGTGCTCTTATTCCGACGGCCACTGGGCACTGATCCGCAGACCGGGAAACCACCTAAACACTGGAAACCGCCTTCTGACGGACGGGCGTCGGTGCCAGTTACCGCAGAAAGATGAGCCCCAACGCTGTGTGGCCCCGACCCTAGCCCCCAACCCGGTTTGGTTGGAACCTTTCATCCTGACTCAGCCCTCGGTTCCTGGCTCTGGTTTCCAGTTTCTGGCTCCTCACCCCCCCCCCCTCGTGCTGATCCGGAACTATCGGGTCGCACCAGGTTGGTCGGAACTCGGGTCGCACCAGGTTGGTCGGAACTCGGGTCGCCTTTTTTTATGGTCATGACTGATGGCTTGTTCGACTGCATAAAGAGAAAAGACTACGAGGAGTTTCGAACGCGTGCGGAGCAGGTGGAGACGGTGGAGGAGTTGGCTAATTGGCGAGATCCGGAAGGGTTTACGATCCTGCATTGGTCGGCGCTCGCTGGTTGTAGCGAGTTGGTGTTGCGAATTCTCGAGGAGGGGAAAATGGACCCGAACGTGCGCGGTCCCAACCTCCAGACGCCCCTCATGTGGGCTTGCATGGATCAGCAACTAGTCACCATGCTCATTCTGGCAGACCACGGAGCGAGTCTGCACTTGCTCGACGACCTACACGACAACGCCCTCTCCATCGCTTGCCAACATGAGAAGCTATTCGCCGCGCTTTGGCTCCTAACCCGACAAATTGACGTAAACGTCGCAAATCTGGGTGGAACCAGTCCCGCGCACTGGGCCGCTTTCAGCGTACGTATCCCCCCCCCTTGGTGACCCCTGCCCCCTTCTTCTGACCCCCCCCCCCCCTTGTTGACCCCTGCCCCCTCCCCCTTATCCACCTCATGGATGCGCGGTAGGGTTCGTATATGATACTGTGTATGTTGGACGCGTTCGGTTTCGACATGTGCAGGTCGTACGACCGGAACGGGTTATTGCCCGTCCACCGCGCTCTGGAGTTAGAATTCTGGGGCACGGCCTACATGATGGCCAGTTTCTGTCCCCGATTACTGGTCACCAAGACGCGGCCAGTGGACAGCGAAGGAGAAGGAGGGAGGGAAGGAGATGGAGGGAGGGAAGGAGATGGAGGGAGGGAAGGAGATGGAGGGAGGGAAGGAGAAGATGAGGGAATGACTTTGGAAGAGTTTGCTGAGGATCGGTGTTTGCCGGGGAAGACCATGGAGCAGTGGCTTAAGTTGTGCCGGTACCATAAGCATCGGTCGGAGGATACGCTGGAGGATCCCGGTACAGGTGGTTGGTTGTTTTCGTTCGGGGCTCGGAAGAGCTTATGGGACTATTTGGTTGACTTTGTGGATTTTCTGGAACGGAAAGAGGCAACCCGGGGTTCCATTCCCCTTCTAGCCTACTCGTTTGGATTGGTGTTCTGTCTGGTTCACTGGGTATCTTTATGGCGAATAAACCAAGAGTTAAGGATGCTCGGCTTCGTCTTCAGCGGCCTACTCAAGATATTACCGTGTGTGGGACTTGTCGGTATTCTAACCTTCTCCTGCTTATTATTAATTGATCCTGGTTTCAAACAATACAACTACTTCCCAATAATTTTTGACAAGCAACACCCAGCAAACCCCAAGATTCTCGCCAAGTACTCCAACAAGGTTGTCGCTAACTTGGATAATTATCAAAGCACACACGAAAAGGAACGCCTATTCCGATCTCGTCGAAGAGAAATATTTGAACAGATAGGCACCTCTCTTTCCCACCCTTATGCCTTAATACTGCTATCGGCACCGGTACGGCGAAAGGACTCAAGAGTCATTCAATACTTTGCTAGGAAAGGCGTTTATCTTGCCGACCACTACAATATCACTGATCACTCCAATATTACTGGAGAGCAAATTAGCCACCCAGCCACTCCAGTTCAAGCCACTCCAGTTCAAGCCACTCCAGTTCAAGCCACTCCAGTTCAAGCCACTCCAGTTCAAGCCACTCCAGTTCAAGACTCCGATATGAACCGACCGATCAGGGTACCTTATGCGGATGAAAGAAAATTAAGGGAGAAATTGGATCTGGGACGAGTGTGTACAACGTGCTGGATTCGACGTAGCATTCGGACCAAACACTGTAGCACCTGTGACCGCTGCTGTGGAGTAATGGATCATCATTGTGTATGGATTAACGCTTGCGTAGGCGAGCGTAATCATTTGCTATTCTTCTTGTTTATTATTACTTCCGCAGTTTCTCAATGGCACCAAATTGCTTTGATTGCCTTGGCAGGGTGCTCCAAAGCTGTCCATCTGCTTCCGTTCAACGCTACTGTCTTCTTGTACCCAATACTATTTTCTTCGCACGTGTGTGCGCGCACGCTGTTAACTACCCTAAACCTTTTACACAGGCTTGGAGGCCGAATTACGATTCCACAAGTTTTCCTGATTATATTGGCCGGTATACTGCACTTCATAACCTTCAAGTGGGGTGTCTCATTGGCCTCAAGTCAGTGCGACGACTTGCTGCACAGCACCACCGTAAACGAAAAGATAAACGGTTCCAGATACGAGCACTTTATTGTGAGCGCCGTGTGCGATGACGACGGGCTACCGGACCATCCTGTGGTCGAGTCCGACAAGGCGATCAAGTATATTTATACCGAAGGAAGCGATCAAAAAATACCCAGAAAGAAGTACAAGATCGACAAGACCATTCCCGAATTGGTCGGTGACGTAAATCACGCAACTCTCTCCCCGCACGCTACGGACCAGAGAGCGCCCAAGCCTTCGCCCGGCGCCATACTAGCCGATGAAAAGCCTGACGACCATCGGCTTCCGGATGAACCACCAACCGCTGATGAACCGCCAACTGCTGACACTGTTAGAAAGTCGATGCTGGCGCACGTAAACAGCAATCTGCAAAAAGGCATAACCCCGGTGATCAAAGAGGCCGCTGAGAGGATGACTGTTAAGACTCCTTTCATCAGACGGTTCCTTAGAAATCCTTTTTCGGAACAAATGACCGTAAGCCTAGCACTTCACAACCGTCAGCACTTCCTCACACGCCTTTGCTGTAAGCCAGCTTTCCACGTACGGTCGGAAACTTTCTACACATAAACAGCACTGTCCGCAATCATAGATTGGCCACTTAGGTGATTGAATCTGTAATTGGATTTTTGACCAACACGCGAGACACGGAGATCGAGTATTACGCTCTAAAGGACGAGGAGTTTATTCGGTCTATGCGGGCTGAGATCATTGCACGCCGTCAACGCTTAGCGGCCAACAACTCTTGCCATTGGTACTCTAAAGCGTTATCCAAATTCTTTGCCAGACACGGCTCTAACAACTTTTCCAGATGACGCCACTGCTTTTTAATTGTGACCGCCAGTCGTAGATGGTCCAGGATTCCACTGATAATGCGGGTCAAAGACTTACTACAAAATTCGTACCGACCAATTGCCTACCGAGCATCTCAATTTAACCAATATAGAGAGGATCCCCATCAGGACATATGTTGCGCCCATAGACGCACACACGTGTGCTCCCGCCCATAGAGGCACACACGTGTGCTCCCGCCCATAGAGGCACACACGTGTGCTCCCGCCCATAGAGGCACACACGTGTGCTCCATATACATATATGAATGTATATGTTCATTTGCATACATGTACATGCGTACATATATACACGTTCCATACGCAGCGTGATTACCTTCACCACTATGCCCGTTTATTCTTACTTTGGTCACGGCTTCGAACTTGGTTATAAACCTTCGTGAACTGGGTTCGAAATTTCTCCCAGAACCGATTTGCAATATGCTCATACACTCATCCGTAATAATCTGCTCAACATTCAAGATAGTCTTGTCGATCAGGTTCAAATCTTTCGTCGCCCACACCTGGTTATGCGGTTCTTCGTCATCAGTCTGCGCCGACGAACCAATATCTGTAAGAGATGTTAACTGAACAGCTTCTTCGGCCAAGAATAATTGCCGCACGCGATTGAGTGTAACCAATGATCGCACACAATCGTGCGATACGTCGCAAAGGATCAACACTAACACCGCTCTTTCTTGCAAGAACTTGAGACTACCAACCACCTCTTGTAAAATATACAATGTCTCACCCAAAACTTCCGTCTCTTTCTCCTCAGACGACAACACCGTACTCAGGCTTGACGCGCTCTGGAACGGTAGTCCAATGTCACTCTGCACTGGCCCAACATCTCTGGCCCGAATCTCTTCCCCCACAAATGCCTCCTCTTCAACCGACTTCTCTCCTTCCACAACACTCGCTCCTTTGTTAACACTTTCTTTTCCTTGTGGAGCGGAACCCCCGAAATTGTCCTCAATTCCCACAAAGTCACTTCCCTTGAGCTCGCTAACCTTCAAGTCATCGAAATGGAGTCCGACAACTCCCGTCTGATCACCTCCAATGTAATCGGCTCCAAAATGGTTAGTGGTGTTATGAAACATATTACTAT